GCGGGGCAGAGGATGTATGCGTGGCAGTAGGGGGAGGGAAGGAGAAGAGGGTAATGGCGGAGAGGAAAGCCGCCGAGTGCCACGGTGGCTGGCTGGTTCGCCCGCCTGCCTGGCGAGCGAGCCGTGAATCGTATCCCTTCCCCTACAGAGAATCGCTCCCGCCGGTCCCCTATTCTCTCCTCCGCTCCCGCTCCTCCCGTTTCCCCTCCCACTCTTCTCTTTCTCCCTCTCAATGCTCATCGAGGAATTTTACTCGGGCAGACTCGCTCCCAGGCTTGGGTTCCCCCTGTTTCTGGTCGACGCACGACGATGGGGTTCTGCTTTATGTGGCGGCATTAGCATGGGTCTCCATAAACCGAAGAAATCTCTAGGTCAGCACCGTATTCTCTGTTATAAGAAACGCCAATCTCGCTCACTCGCCATTCAGGCTGGACAGTACACCTTTCGGATCGTGAAGTTGCTTAAAACGCAACTTGAATTATTGATGCCTCGTACTCGATGGAGAACGATAGCTTTTTTCGTAGTAGGGAAAACGATAAAAGGTAACATCTTTTCGACTGCAAAAGAGAATCGTATGGGCGCGAGGCAAATGGAAAAACACCACGCGTGACTTTACCTCCGATGCTCGAACTAATTACATGAACAAACATGCGTCACGATCACCTTAGCTTCTTAGCGAGGAGAACGATAAATTTCCGTAGACGTGATTTCGAATATTTACAAATCGAATTAAGATCTAACTCCCTCTTGTAAAAGGGAGCAAGAATACTTTACTACAGGTACAATAAATTTTCATTTTTTTCAAAAGCTATATATTTATTTAAGAAATATGTATATATTAATTGAAAAAGATATATTTCGCTTCTCTTCATGTACACTTTAGAGTTATATATACGTAGCGCCGTCGATGACTCACCGGTCGAAGTGTTAAATGTATTTGCGTCGCGTTATCAGTGCATACGTAGCTGCAGGTGGACATTATCGCGATTACATCGACGTATATTAAGCCGCACTTTAATCGCACCGTCCAATCGCGACGGTGACGGTTCAAACGATCGTACGTCTTTCCACGGGAGACATACAGGAAATCAATACATCGGCCCATGGCGAAGAGTCTGAGGGACGCGAAACAAACGCAGAAATTCGTCTTCCGTAAACTCGTCAGCGTTATACTTATACGTCATTCGTTATAAATAACGAATTATCGATCTATTTCACCCGCGGACGACGCGTCGCCGTCCCTCCTGTTTATAGAGGCGCCCGTAAAGATAGTAACGTGGCATTTATCGCATTTATTGCCAAGTCTCGCGCGTTCGTTCGAATGAAGTCGCAATAGCGTGTAAGTTATTAAATCAAATACAAATATTTCTATTCAATTTCTTTTCATGCCGGTACTGAAAGTATTTATCAACGTATTCCGCAACACTTGCCTACTTTAAAACATTTCGTCCCCTTTCGGGGGACGTCAATTTCACAAACAATCTTCAAGAGGAACAGATTGCAAATAACAACAATGCGCTTTTGTGTAACAATTTTTACCGCTGTGAAATTTCGCAACGTAAATAAAACAAGATATCACCTTTTGAATATCATGTTAGATTTGATCTGGATCGTTTAGAGAAAACGATCGGAAAACATATATATGTGAGAGACCCGTAAGGACTTGACATCAATTTTTACACGCGTGCGAGGCTCCCTTCTGCATTTTTACGTAAATAAAATATCATGCGCCTTTTTAGGAATACGCTCGCACGGAATGTATGTGCGCAGTTATACGATGCGTGTTGCACAAGAGTCCGGGTTTTCGCTAGTGTGACGATCTAACAATACGAGGTTTCGCGATTCCACGAAGCGCAACGCGGGTAAAAAGGAACACAATGCAGAGTGGGCACATCGTACACAACGATGGCGATGACGGCAATGACGACGACGACAACGACGACGACGACGATGACAACGACAACGACGAGAAAAGAAGAGAAGAGAGAACTTTTGTTCCTCCTCTCTTTGCCGCTCTCTCGCTCGTGCTCTCCTGCGGTTATGCTCCGGCTCTCACCGCATAAAACGCATCTAACAATGCCGCTACGAAGATGTTTACCGTTGGAAATCTAAAGGTTTCGAAGTTGAAAGAAATTTATCAGTCATTTTTTACTTGCTGCAGCGTTCATCTTTCAGTTATTTCTGTAAAAGTAATAATTTCATTTTGCACACAAATGATGCAACATAAAATTTCGCACGAATTAATTTTTTCCATTTAACATCTAATAAATATCATAATTATCGCTGAGAAACAATATTGACAAAATGTTGACGTCAATCGAATTAAAAAAAAGTGCGATTTTATTCTTCTCAAACGATAAAAGCAAAAATTATCTAAAAATTTTATAAAGTTATAAGGATAAGATGTGTTTTTAACGATTTGACAACATTACCTCATTAGCGTAACTTGGTTACTATTCAATCATGTAACGAACTCAAGTAGGTCAACTAATTGATAAGAGTTTGATTGTATATAACCGCATAACATGCGTATGTAGAAATTATAAGAGAACATATGTGGAATTCGCAATGCAGAATCTTATTATAATTTATACTCATAACACGAGTTATACAAATCGCCTTTGAACCAGACTATTATATCAGCTTCGATATAAATATCATGACGGAGATTGGCACACATATAATTACAGTTGGAAACCGTATATCTTAATTTAAAATGTCCAAGACTCAAGATGACTCTGATAAATGACGTTGATACGTTTCTCCATTACACCTCTTCATCCCCGAAAGACACCCGTCGTAACAAAGTTAGCGTCGTGATCGACGCAAGGAAGAAAACTGATTAATATTGAAATCCGATGAATGAGAGAGAGAGAGAGAGAGAGAGAGAGAGAGAAGTAAATTTCGATAATTAACATTTGTTTGGAATAATTCAGCGAACGAATCTATAATAGATGATTTTTCGTGGGAATCGCTCCCAATCGGAAGCGGAGATCCACAACAGCGTGGCGAGGATGTGCGAGCATTCCGGTGGAGAAAAAGGAGGGGAAAAAAAAAGACAAGTCGGCATATCTCTCTGAAATTTAGTCGGCCGTCCCTCCAAAGGCGGACGGCACGTTCTCCGGCAGACGACACTGACACAAGCGGCAACTATCGCGGGCCTCCACCGTATCGAGACGCCCCAACGAGGCCGGCGAGGAACGTGGCAACAGCGCTATGACTCAGCTCTCCTCGTTCCAACCGCTTTCCTCCCTTTGCCCCTATGCCGCTACCCTGCCCCGCGACCCAACCCGTCTCCCCCATCCCAGCCGTTCAGCCGGCACTACGCAGCTGACGCCCTTCCCTTCCCCCCCTGCCGGGGGAAATTGCCCCACCATCTCGCTCCACCATCCTTCCTCGTGTCCCAGACTCGGTCTCCACTCTTCTCCACCCCTATCCACCCCTACCGTGTCCCACCACCGTCCTGATCGTGCTGACTCTCTCGCGCGGGATATACCCGACAACTCGTTTGCCCCCACTAAAACTTCCCGGCGGGCACGGACGGGGACGGACGATTTCTACGACGACGACGCGATGCGGCGCGTCGCGTCGTGCCGCTTCGCCGAGGAGAGATGAGCGTGCAAGCAAAGCCAGCGCAAAAAGTTCCCTTTGGAAGAAAAACATCTCTCTTTCTCTCCCTCCCACTATATCTCTCGTATCGCCGATTCTTTTTCTCTCTCTTTTCCTTCGTCCACCTCCGCGGGATTCCTCTTCCTCTACTTCTGCCTTTGCCGCGGTTTCCTTCTCGTTGTATTCCGAGGGATCGGACCCTCGCCCCAACCTCTCTCTCCCTTTCGTTCTTGCTCCTTTTGTCTCGAATCTTCTCTTTTTCAGGGCCTTCTGCCATTCTGTTTCTGTCCGTCCCGTGGCAGGGACGAACAATGCAACGTGATCCAGGTGCAAGAATAAGGAGAGGGTAACAGGAGAAAAGGCACGGGTAGGGGAGTGAAGAAAGAGAGAGAGAGAGAGGGGGGGGAGGGCGAGGGATTGGTGTGCGAGCGGGCGATGGGTACGACGTGACTAGTTACGGTATGCGTGAGTTAAATCCACTTCTATGCTTCACGATATTTTTTGGCATTCAAAATCGATAGTTTCCTCCTCGATTTCGCCAGTTGCTAGGCAAGGCGAAGGCATCCTCGTTTGCAAATCTGATAATATTCGGCACAGTTCAAACAGATGATCAGGAGAGTGGAAATATCCGTCGTTTTATTGGTAATATCTCTCCTTTACGAAAAATCTTGCCTTACCAAATCCGATTGGTATTCTCTCCCCCTCTCTATTGCTATATTAGATTGACCTTTCTTATTCGAACGCACTGTCCCTGATATCGCTTATTTCTGTAGAACATCGATTCATTTGACAGATTTGGAATTAGAGCGTTTTGCCTCGTCGAAAATCCTAGTTTCTGATAACAAAGAATATCTCAGGCTTCTTCTATAAATCGATGTGAATTATTACAGTAATCTAACGTGTTCTCTACAAATAGAAGTCTTTACTATCACGTTATCAATTGTTTTTCATCGCGTCATATTTCTATGATTTACTCGACTTATATAATACTACATATAGTTATACATACTTGTACAACACTTATATATACTGCAAAAAATGCAGTTTTTTATGCAGTAATCGTTAAGATTCATTAGAATAAAATAATACAACTATGAATTAATATGTTGGCACGTATAACGTTAACAATTTTTTATTTCTTTCATTCTTTTTCTTAAACAAAATTGTGTTTCAATGAATTACAATGTAATTGTGTGTTTATTGAATTACAATCTTAATCGCAAAGATAATAACAAAACGTCCGATTGTGAAATGTTTATTTATAATCTGAAACAAGCAGTCCACAACATAAATGTGTTTTATTAGAATTTATTAATACTTCTTAGAAACACATCTTGCACATGTAGAAGTGTAAACGTGTTTATGAGAAAGCTAATTAATTTTTCAACTTAATTACCTCTACAATGTTACTGATTAAATACTCTTTTGGAAATTAATGTTTGGTAAATAACTTTTGAAAACTTTTATAGAAGTCCATCGCGATTCAAAGTCGATCCTGTTTACAATTTAAAAAATTTTTGGACAAAATTGGTGCTTTTGAAGTGTAGAGACATTTGAATAAATAAAATGAAAGAGAAAAGAACTTTTTAATAATAAGACTTAAAGAATAAATGACCTCCAAGTGTAATTTATGATCATGCAACACTTTACAAAAATTAATACTGTCGCAAGAAAATTGCTTTTCTAATTCGTTCCGTCAAAAATAAGTAAGCTGCTTTAAGAATTAACCGTCGACGATCGATTCCTTTATCTCCGAATGATCCTTATTTTCCCGGTCGAGATCCAGACAGAAAGAAGCCAACTACGACTACGAGAGAGGCCCCGCGTAGGTTCGAGGTCGAAGGCGGAGAAGTCACGTTAGGCGAGTGTGCCGCTTCTGTGTCGTATAGCCGAGGTGCCGTTATTTTAATGCAGATACGCGGAGACCGGACGAGAATGAAAGGCCGTAGAAGACACATTCGCGCGTTGCATATATATATATATATATATATATATATATAGTCTTGCGCCAACGCGCGACAAAGAGATACTACCACGACGATCACTATCGCCTCTACCTCGCCGTCGGGTTTCCCGCCAGGTTTTTTTCGCCCGACGAGTATCATGATGCATGAATAGCCGCTCATTATCATTTCGTAAAGACGATTCTTCGCGATTCTTATGCATTTTCCAGCGCGACAGCGCGAGAAGCAGTAAAATGAAGCGAACACCAGGTATAGCCAGGGAGAGCGCACACTTCTTGTGAAATTTTACCCTTTTTGTCGGATATATATAAATAAAATTTTTGAAATCATCGACAACGAGAGCTATTATGGAAGTCTCTTTTTCATGAATTAAATCCTCGAGAGAAAAATAAATATTATTGGCGTTTAATTTAAAGAGGATTTTAGTCGAATTTTATTTATTAATTTATTAAATTGCCAAAGTGACGAATGCTGTTGGAAAGCGAAAAATTTGGCGAATTCTGTCGAAATTGGCAGACTTCGAGGGCAACAACATTTGTCTACTTCGTATCAATTCTAAAGCAAATCTCAATCTATGACTTGTATGAAATGATCAGAAGACAGATTTAAAGAGAGACGGATTCTATTTTAAATGCCTTGATAAGAAAAATTAACAGAGCATAAAAATTATACGACAGTTGAAAGTACAAAATTATCATTATATTTTATTCAAACTGATTATAGTGTAAGATGGTATTGTTAGTGATAATCTTTGTAATTAATGTGATAGTCGATAACGAATCCAACTGAACTGCGCAACCAAGGTGAACTCGATAGCAATATGGAAATTTTCTCCGTGATTTTAATGCGGATGCATACGCAAAGACATAATGTAGTAGTCTTAGCTCGAAGATAAATCATCACGGAAATATTCCGCGAGTCGGGTCAGACAGCGTCTGGACAATGAAGCCTGCCTGGCAGGTTTCTAAATACCTAGCACCTGTTACAAGTCTAATTCTTCTTCCGTAGCAGTGGTTCCCAAACTTTCCAAGATAGAGCATTGGAGTTTCTAATATCGACACAATTTTTCGTTCGAAATAATTATGATTTTTTATATCTATCTGATGATTCGATCGATTGATAATCCATAATAGAACTATGATGACATTTTAGATAGAAGTATTTCTATGCTTTCTGAATGAAAATCTAAAATGATTCTATCTAATTTTTATCATTTCAAATTTTTGTCACATTTCACACTGTACTTTTTACACATATATTTTTTAATCTAGGCAGAATATTTTGCATCAGAAAATTTTCACTTTTTCGATCAACGTATACAATTCAAACGGAAATATATATATATATATATATATATATATATATATAGTGTGTGTGTGTG